AGGGTCGTGTCTGACACTGGAGCAGCAGCACTTTGCAAACAGGCCCTGTCTGTGTCTGTCACCACCAGGAGATCCCAACAGGGGCTTTGGATTTGGGGAACGTGCTTTTGGAAAGACTTCTTGCTTCAGATGCAGGGAGTGCCTTGGCACTGCTGGGAGCTGCTTTGCAGAGCTGGAGAGTTATTTCCAGTAAGGACAGACATGACCTTGATGTGCCTCCTGCACTGCCCACCCTGCTCTGTCGGGGCTGTTGATTCCATAGAATGCTGGGCATTATTGACCTGGGAGTTATCTGAGCTCTTCAAGGACTGGGAGCTGCCCTAAGGATCAGTGTCAGCCCTGACTTGCTGGGTGAAGTCCCTTCTGAGTCAGAAGTGTGTGTTGAAGAGTTCATCCCTTCTTTCACCTTCTCATAATTGTCCCTCTTGTGGGACCTCTTGCTCTCTGAAGAAGTGGTTTTTCTGCTTTATCTGGGTGCTGTTTGAAGGGGATTTGGGTTTTGGTGGTTTGGTTTTTTTTGGGTTTTTTTTAGAAGTGCTTAGGAATGAGCTCTGCTTTCTGTTCTTCCTTTTTACATTAGGAATCCTTGTCCTATCCCAGATCTGAGCAGACTTGACAGCTCCTACTTCCATCACCTCAGGTTCAGGATGGCAGTGCATGTCATCAGCATTCAGGGCCTTTGGAGTCGAGACTTGTTAGAGATCTCTGGAGAATTCCTGCTGCCACTGAGCTGTCTGTCTGGCATACAGGCAGCGCTTGGAACTTGCTGTGGATCCTTTGCAGAGCTGAGGATCATGACAAATTGACTGGGGGGAAAAAATGGTGAGAAAAAAGCATTTAAGAGGGCAGTGGGAGTTCATGTAGCTTGGCTCTAGACACGAGGAGCAGCACATCTGCTCCTTCCACCTTCCTCTGTGAATTTGGGCACCTTAGATGGGGCAGTTGGAGTTTGTGCCAGCCTTTGGATGTCTGGATGAGTGTCTGGGTGCTGTGTGCTCTGCAGGAACACCCACAGCCACCTCGACATTGAAGTGGCCACTTGAAGCACTCACAGCTGGACATCCCCAAACAGCACTTGAGGAGAGGGGAGGGCAGGGCTGACTGCAGAGCCACTTCCTCAGAGAGCACATAAGTGGTCCCTAATTAGGGAATTCTCTCATGGCATACTCAGAGAAAGCCCCCAGGGATGGCAATGCCTTGTGTCCAGACAGAGCAGGACAGCCTGGAGTTGGAAATAGCTGTTGCTGTTCTGTGTCAGGGTGGATTGCCCAGACGTGGAGTTATCAGCTGCTGAGAGCAGCCTGGTGCTTCTGGGCTTTCTTCTTGGCACTCTGCAGCCTGTCACTAGCCTCTTGTGGGCTCCATGAGATTGCTTCCCTCCTGGCTGTGGTGGTTTTTCTCCAGGCTGTCATTCCAGAGTGGCAGTGCCTGTGGGGCTGGGCAGGGTCTGAGGGAAGAGCCCTTTTCAGATGGTTGCTGTTCCCAGCAGGCTCATGTGGAGCTGTGGTGTTGGATGTGCTGGATCCTTCTGGCTACTTCCCTTCCTTTCTTCTCCATGCCCATTGCAAATCCCATTTAGATCCAACACAAGCAATGAAGAGAAGGTGCTCTGTCTCCCCTAAGAGACATGAGGAGGCTGCATTTCTCTGAATATCCTTTGAGGTCACTTTTCTGGGATATAAAAGCCTTCCAGGCTGCCCCCACCAACCTGATTTCTTGGATACTTCCCTTGAGGAACACTCTTCTCACTGAGGGGTTATCCCAGTGCAGTGCTGCTGGCACCTCGAGGTATGGGTGTAGCCAGGGCTGAACTGTCAGGAGAGATGGTTTAAATGCACAACTCCAACTTTGCAATTTCCTCCTGCCTTGATAAAAACTTCATCTGCTGTGTTTAGTGCTTCCCTGCAGCCCTGCTAGAGAATGGAGGCAGGAGAAGGGGGAGCTGGGAAAGATGCACCAGCAGTTTTCTGTGCAAAAAAAAGCGACTTAGACCAAATTGTAAAGCCTCAGTTAAACATTAACTGTTAATTATGGCTTTAATGCAGAGTAAAGGTGACTGTGGATATAAATGACCTATGACCTGGCATGTTGCTCACTGTGAATTGATGGTTGGCCTTGTCATTGCAAAGGAGGAATTAAAATAGCCGGGACCAACAGGCCTGTGTGTGAACTTCAAAGGCAGCCTGTGCCTCGCTGAGTTGCTGCCAACCTGCTGTTAAGTGAAGGAAACAATCTTGGAGCAGGGTCCTGCCTGGATTGGGCTGTTCCCCTCCGTGCAGGAGCAGCAGAGGCTTTGAACCCCTTCCAGCTCCCGTGTCTGCAGGGCCCTGTGGTTCCCCTCCACTTCTCCTCTGATTGTGGAGCCATTAGGTGGAAATGAAAGAGATGAGCTGATCAAACACTCCCTGAAATGGCTTTAGGGTTTCAGTTTGAATATTTTTTTAATTAGCTGCGTGTAAAGACTTTATTACTTCAAATAGCAGCCACGAAACCCTCTCGGTTTGATCCTTTATTTTCCTGGTGCACACGAAGCATCAGTAGCTGTAGGTTTGTACCCAGTTAGACACCCCAAACCACAGCCAACAGCCAGTGGGAACATGCAGGGATCAGCTTTGAAGTATTCCTGTTGGGAACACATGAAGGAAGTACTGTGTGAGGATGGGATCAGACTGACAAGGAGCAGAGTGGAAGTCAGTCGCATTTTAGCAGGAGCAAGGATGCTTTAGTCTGACAACACACAGAACACTGTAGCACATCAAGGGTAAGGATTTTTTTTTTTTTCCCCCCACACTTCAAGCCTTTCTTTCCTTGTCCTGGCTGATAGAACTTCATGCTGTGAACTGGAGAAATGATTTAAGCATTTCTCTCTCTGATTCATTTTCAAAGAGAAGAGATCAGCTCAAGTGTCCTCCAGTCGTTTTCCTTCTTTAGAAACTTCCTCTCCCCCTTCTCCTGCTCAGGGGAGACACTGGAAAGTGCTGCCAGCCTGAACTGGCTCTGGGTGTCTTGTATGTCAGGAACATCATGTACCCCTAGTTTTGGAAGGTTTGGCAGTAAAAGGAGCCTGTGAAATGAGGCTCTTGGTGGATGTGGGGGAACCAGGATGGTGACTCTGCCTTGAATCCCAGTTTGTGCGAGGCTGGAAATCTTCACTCCTGTGTTTCTGGCAGCCTTGAAAGTTCCTCTACGCTTTTGTGCTTTTATTATCCCAAACTTTGAGTTGGGGACAGCCCTTGAGAGAGGCACATTGTGCTGATTCAGGCTCAGTTTTCTGGCAGGGTGGCCCTTGAGTCACGGGTTCCGTGTGGCTCCGAGCACAGGGACTGACAATCCCGACAATCCCGGCTGCTCTGGGGTCAGCGGAGGGAGATGAGTCACTGGGGTGAGCAGGAGGCTGGGCTGGAGACTCCTGATGTTCCTCACAGCCCTAATTATCCAGTGATCCTGTGGTGCCTTTCAAGGATGTACAATGAACGAGGTGTGGATTCTGAGCATCATGTGATGCTTCATCTTCTCATCCTTCACTCTGTAAAGCGGCCCTTTCCCTCACAATTCCTGCTTTTTCTGCCTCCTGGTTAGCAGCCTGTAAGTTGATATCCTCTAAGGGACAAGCTTCCTTATTTTGCTACCAGTAATTTGATTTCCATGTGCAGGCATGGCCGGTGCAGCTGGGCTGGCTGAGCCAGGGTGCTGGAAAAGTATAAAAACGGGTTTGGGCTCCTGGTATTCCTGAGCTGAGTCGGGCACCTCTTGGCTGGGATCCTTTGACCCTCAGAGCTGCTGCAGGATACGCAGAAGGGGTTATCCTGGGGAAAGGTTTCCAAGGATTTTCCTGATTTTTATCTGTTCAGTCTTTGCTGTTTATCCTATGGATGACAGAGGGACAAGGCTGATGTTTCCTCAGTGATTTGGTACCATTTTTACTGATAAATCAGGGAAGTACCCCCTGTATCATCATTTCTTCATTGGTACCTCAGAGGTCCCACTGGCAGCAAGACCACAAGCAGCAGGATGTGACACCAGGCACAGGAGAAGGTGCTGGGTCTGAGGGCCAGGGAGGGGAAGGTCCTGGCTCTGCAGGAGCAGAGGGAAGGTGTGGCTGGGAGAGGCTTTGAAGGAGCAGATGAGTTTTTGGCAGCGAGGTCAGTAGAGCCATTAGAAGGTGAGGCAGGAGAGCCAAGTCCTGATCAGTGACCCAAGAGGTTCCCCTTTGAAATTCAGAGCTGGGGAAGGAGGAATCACAGGGTAGAAACACGCCTGGTTCTTATCCAGAGAAAGCTGATGCTGCACCAAGGTGCTGGTTTCCTTCTGGAAAAGGAGGGAGGGATGGGGTGGGGGCTGAGATGAGAGAAAGGGGCTTAGCTGGATATGGAATCTGCCATTTCTCCATGTGTGCCAGGGCTCCAGGACTGGTGAGGACCCAACTGTAAGTGGGAGCAATGGGTTGAGGGCAGGTAACAACACCCAAAGCACTGGGGATGCTCTGTGATCCATCCCAGGCCTCCCAGTGCTCCTGTCCTGCACCAGGAAGGAGCTGGGAGCAGGGAAACATGGGGAGAAACAATAGGAAAATGGGATGAGGAGAACAGTGAATCTTCCGGGAGACACAGGACTGTCTCCAAAGGCAAAGAGTGAGTATCCAGGCTTTGGTTTCCCAGAATAGAAGTGGAAAAGCACAAGGGATGGGAAGCATGGATGCCCCTGTGCAGGAAAGGGGGTGGCCTGAAGAGTTCTCTGGGGCTTCCCTGAGCTGGGCTGGCCACTTTTGAGCTCTTGTCACTTAATACTCAGTTTTATCCAAGTCCTCCACGAGGAAGTTGAATGGATTTTATGGGGCTTTCCCTGTGCCTGTTTCACCTGTGTTAATCCAGAGAATTCCAGGTGTTTCTTTTGGGGCCACTGGAGCTGTGCTGGTAACCACGGACCATTTAATTCTGCAATGGATTAAACTGTGCAGGTGATGTCTGGGAGACACTGACTGTGATGTTTTGTCATCCTAGGACCTTTCCAGCTGCCCAGCCCTTGGACAGGAGGGAGGCCCACCTGGGGGCACGTGGAGATTCCAGCATCACGTTTTGGGAGAAGGAGCAGGAGCACTGTCTGCTTTGAGAGATGAAGTGAAAGTTCCGATTTTTGTACACAAACTGATTTTCATGAAGTTGGGTTTGTTTGCTGTGTTTTGAGACATTTTCCAGAAGAATTAAGCCCTGCTGTCAGAGAGAGGAAAGTGTTCCTTCTCTCTGCCCTGACATCCTACCTCCTGCAGGTTCCAGGCTGCTTTTAGGGAATCAGTAGGTGGGAGGAGGATGCCGTGAAGTTTTGTATTTGCACAGGCTGTTCTTTAAAAACTTACGTTTGATATTTTTGTTCTGAGAAAATAAACCAACCTGAGCATTAAGGCTGTGCCAGTTTATTGTGCAAGAGGGATTAATGCCTGAAAGGAGCTGGAATTTGGGAATGGGGTTTGGTTTGTTGCTGTAGAGCTGACTCCCTTTGTGGGCAACAGCGTGTTGTGCTCTTTGTTTTGGCTGGATGTTCCTGTGAGTGTTGGTGCTAAATTTAAAATTGCTGAAGAATGCCAGCTTTGTCCCCTGCACATCCTGTGACTCCTCCAGCTTCCCTGGAGTTGGGTTCTTTGGGAGCAAATTCCACTGTGTGCTCATGTGGGGGTGAGGCTGGAATTGAATAAATGCAGAGCCAAAGATGCTCCCAGGGCTGGAGCCCCTCTGCTCTGGAGCCAGGCTGGGAGAGCTGGGGGGGTTCACCTGGAGAAGAGAAGGCTCTGGGGAAACCTTAGAGCTCCTTCCAGTCCCTAAAGGGGCTCCAGGAGAGCTGGAGAGGGACTTGGGACAAGAGACTGAGGGACAGGACAAGAGGCAATGGCTTCCCACTGCCAGAGGGCAGGGATAGATGGGATATTGGGAAGGAATGAGGGTGGTGAGACCCTGGCACAGGTTGCCCAGAGAAGCTGTGGCTGCCCCATCCCTGGAAGTGTCCCAGGCCAGGTTGGACGGGGCTTGGAGCAACCTGGGCTAGTGGAAGGTGTCCCTGCCCGTGGCAGGGGGTGGGACTGGATGGCTTTTAAGGTCCCTTCCAGCCCAAACCATTCTGGGATTCTGTGAATTCCACAGCAGGGGCTTCCCAACTGTTCACCTGTCCCGGGTGCTCTTGTCTGTCCACTTGTCCCTGCTTTTTTCCGGGAGGGTCTAAAACCGATCCCCCCAGTCAGTCCCGGTTTGTGCTGCCGAGCCCTTTCCCGGCCCGACACTAGATGGCAATGCCTCCTTCCCAATGCTTCTCCAAAGGCCAGTGATCGGCATTCCTTTCTGATGGGCTTTAAATCTGGATATTGGTGTTTTTCTGCACCGGTTATCCTGATAATTTTGCTTGGGAGCTGGTGCCTCTTCCCTAAAAGAAGTGGAGAAACTTTTCCTGGGATAAGACATAAACACAGAAGTTTTTCCAGCAGGAGCCAGTGCCTGTCATGGAGCTCCCTGCCATGGGCTGTGCTGGCACTTCCCTGCCAGCCCTTGGGATGATCAAGTGTGGGCAGCTGGATCCATGAGTGGAAACTTGGCACATCCCTGTCCACCGATGACCTTGGAAAGGCAGCACCTCCTGCTCCCCACACTGGGGACCAAACCCAGCAGGGAAGGCGTTTCATCTGCTAAATCTGAACTGCAGGACTGGGGGTGGGTGGTGTGGCTGCTGTGGCACACTGAGGAGCTTTCCAAGCCTCTGGAAGGTCTTCTCCAGTCCTGCTGCCAGTGGCAGAGAACAGCAGCCACTTCCCTGTCACTCAGCCCACGCTGGTGACTTGTATTTGATCCAAGGTCCCTCTCCAGATTAACGGGCAGTTTGCTGCTATCTGACACTTCCCATGGTGAACTAGACCTTGCTGAAGTGCGTTTTTCCACTTTTCCTTACCAAATTATGGCCAAAAATTACTTTCCTGAGCTTTATTTATTTAATTTTTTTTTTTTTGGTTGTTATTGAAGGAAGAAATACAATCTTTCAGCCTCTGGGCAAAATCAAAGGTGTGTTTGGACCTGACTTGGCATTAAAACAGAAATACAAATCCTTAACTTAAAGAGACAAAAATCTCTGCAGAGAACCACACTTTCTGGTTGGTAGTCAAAAAACACAGGCTTGGAGAAGTTTCCTACTGGAATTTTTGATTTTGGCCAAAATGCCTCCCCTTTCCCCCTCCCCCCATATCAAATACTTTTTGACAAACACCCTCAGTGTGTTCCCTGGAGAAGCTGCTCCGAAGGTTGGTCCCAGCTCAGCAGTGCTCTTGTATTTCCAGTTTGGGTTTATCAAATGTCAACCTCCAGCTCCAAGTTTGCTCAATTCCAAGATTATCTGATCTCAGGTGATGTTTTCCTGGTGTGGGTGTTTGCCCAGCCCTGAGGTGTTGTGTCCCCTCAACCCCGTTGATCTGGCTCCTTTGGGGCTGTGTGGGGTGTGAATCACAGCCCCTGTGTGTCACCTGTGGGTGCTCCTGTGTCACCTCTGCATCTCCCAGCCTGGTGTCCCCACACCACTGAGCCCCCAAGGACACGATGGGGGCAGTGAGACCCCACTCTGTGCCCATCCCCTCTGCTGGCAGCTGGCACAGAAACCCTGGGGAGCCTTGGTGGGTGTCCCTGTCCCCACCACAGCGTGGGCTGTGCTCTGCTGGGGACGAGGGTGGGATGAGACCACTGGCAGGTGAGCAAAAGATGTGGGATGGCAGAGCTGAAGCTGGGCTGAGACATCCAGGGCACGTGGAACGGGGATGCTGGAAGGTGCCCCAGGTTGTGGCACCTCCTGCCTGGTCACAGGTCTCCTCCCCCAGCCTGGGGGTGCTGTGGTGGGAGATGCAGCTTCCACCCCTCCAAACCTTCCTGCCACGTGTGGGGATGTTGGTCCCGTCAGCTCTGCCTGGGTGGGTGCTCAGCACCCTCTGCCAAGCCTGGAGCAATCCTGCTGATCCCAGGGGCCTGGAGGCTTGGGCACCCTCCCTCAATCATCCCTGTGCTGCTGGCAGGGCAGAGGGGAGGCAGAACCAGTGGCTGCAAGCAGGGATTGAGGATCCCTGTGGTGCTGGAGCCCCTCAAATCACTGGGAACCCCATTCCCCCGGGTCAGAACAGGAACTAAGGACCCCAGTGGCACTGGAGCCCTCGGGCTGAGTCAGGAACTGAGGACCCCCATAGCACTGAAGCCCCTGTGCTGGCACAAGGACCAAGCACCCCATGGCACTGGAGCCCCTTGAGTCACCGGTCACCTCGTTCTGCCAGGCAGGGACAGAGACCAAGGACCCCCATGGCACTGGATTCTCCGAGTTGGGACAAGAACAGAGGACCCCCATGGCACTGGAGCCCCTCAAGTCACAGGGCACCCCTTATTCCTGGGTCAGGACAGGGACCAAGGACTCCCTTGGCACTGGAGGCCCTGGGGGGACAGGGACAAAGGGCCCCTGTGGTGCTGGACCCCCTTGAGTCACCAGGCACCACATTCCCCTGGGTAGGGACAGGGACCGAGGACCCTCTTGCCACTGGAGCCCGCGGGGTAGGACAGGCACCGAGAACCCCCCTGGTGCTGAAGCCCCTCGGGCAGATACCCCCATTCCCCTGGGACAGCACCGGGGACTCCCTCACACCCCGTTATCCCCAGGGCCGGCTCTGACAGTCCTGGCAGTGGCAGCCCCTCGGTGCCGCCGGCCCGGGCCGAGCCCCGCCGGGCACGGAACGCTCCGTGCTCCGCTCCCGGCCCCGCGTTTGTGTTGGCACCGACCGGCGAGCGGGGCCGGTTTAATTGGCAGTTGTGTTTGTGGCCAGGGTGTTATGAAAAGGTTTTCTGTCTCCCTCTGTAAGTTCCCCTGAATATGTTTTCACTCTTAATATAATATTCACTTCATTATTAGCTGAAAGAGGCTCTTTTCAGAGAGGGGTTTTTTTTCCCCCCCCCTACTTCCAAAAATATATTAAACAGCCCCTTCATGCAGCGCTGCGCTGAGGGCCGGGATTGTCTGCCGGAGGGGAAGTGAGAAACCCGACGGTAAATAGGATTTACACAGAAATTCCTTTCTTCCCCAGCGTGCCGCTGGCCGGGGGAGGGAGGAGGCGTCTGTTGCTTACGGGGTGTTTGGGGGTACCTCGCGTCCCCACCCGGTGTGGTCACTCAGGGGATCCCCCCCGGCAGAGCAAATGCTCCCAGAGGCTCCCGGCACCCGTTTCCAGATGCAAACCCCTCCGGCGGCGTCGGGACCCGGCCAGAGGGAATCCCGTGTGCCGGCATTCAGTGCCGGAGGTGTTTCCAGCATCTGCCAGGTTTTGGGAGCTTGTTCTCTGCTGGGTGGATGTTGGGACGTCCCGGGGCTGGGTCAGGCTGGTGTTGTCCGTGGGCTCGTGCCATCCCAGCCCTGGCTCCGGGAGCTTTTGGGATGCCCGAAGGCAGAGCAGGGGGGGACATTGGGCGGGCAGAAGGGAGCCCTGGGCTGGCACTCGCAGTGGTGCTGAGGGGCACTGGGATCCCTGGGGACTCCCAAATCCCCGCTCCATCCCTCGAGGAACTGCCGTGAAACCCCAGAGGAGCCCGGAGCAGATTTTCCCTTTCACCGAAAGCAGGGTAAACACAAATCCCACCTCCCCACTCTACACCCACCCACCCCCCTTAGGACCCTTCCCCCGCTCCGCTGCCACCATTCCCGGCCATCCTGCGAAACGCATTAGGGCCGGTGCCACGCGCTGATGAGTATCCAAGGTCTGTCCCTAGCTGGGAACAATTAGCAGTTGTTTTGGAACGACTGTTTGCTGTGGCTCCAGAGCCGACACGAGCACCCCTTTCGGAGCTCCCAAGGGATGACACAGCTCTCAGTTAAGGATGCTTTTGGGATGGGTCTGGCGTGTGCATCCCCAACCCCTCAGCTGATCAAGGAAGTGGGAGCTCTCTGATGTTGCTGGACTTCTTTTTTCGGCTTTTGGGAAAAAAATAAAGAGCTCTTTTTCCAGGGTCTTTCTGGTCCATGCCCCCCTTCCCATGAATGTGTCGTGTCCAGTGTATCCCAGTGTCTCCCCTGCCTCTCCCCCAGTGTGCAGCATTCTCTTGTGTAAAGCCAGGCAGGAATTGTGCCTGGCAGGCTGGGGGGAGAGTGGGGAGTCCAGAAAAGATAGAGAAGGCTGGGGAGTGTCACAGGCAAATGGAGACTCCCGATTTTGCAGACAGGTCTGAAAGCTGAGGGTGGGATCCTGGACCAGGTGGGGAATGAGAAGTGCTGGGAGAAAGGTGGTGATCCACCAGCGTGGTGGGGACAGGGTCAGGGTGATTCCCAGCTCTTCTCCCCTTGGTGTGTCCCTGGCCCTGTGCACCCTGGGGATGCTGCATCCTGATCAGGGTCACAA